GACAATTGCGTTTTCCCTGCCTTGAAGGGGGAGTGCGTTCCGGATGGCCTAGTCCCCCTGGACGAGCCTTCAACAGAATCTTCATCAGATAGTTCTATTGCGTTGGAATCTTTGGTTTGGCGTTTCGAGAGCTTCGTTTCAACGGGCCTGTTTGTACCGGATGGGGGTTCGACAGGGTCCTCGTCGTCACTTGATATCACCATCACATCATCCGCATCTTCATTTTTCTTGGGCGAAATCTTCCGGCGTTTCGGGGCATGGTCTACCCATGATGGTGGAAAAGGGGAAAAGGCATCCGGGAACGTATCCTTCACCCAAGCAAGTTGGGGATCCCAGGTGTAATCCTGTTTTTGCTTTTGCTTGACAAGCCAAAAGGTGTGCCTCTCCAAGTCGAGACGATGGTCCCCAAAAGCTATGAGAAGTAGCAACAACGAACCCAACGATTTAAAGTAAAAATGGGAAATATAATCTGGCTCTATTTGAGTAGAAGTCGGATCTCCTTCGTGATCCATTCGTGTGAGGTTTTTGCCGAACCAATTGGCGATTAGTAGTCGTATTCTACTGTGCCCTGCTGCGGGAAAGCCTGGGTCGGTTTTATTTGATAGTCTCACGCCCAGACAATAGTCATTTGCCGCGGATGTCTGAAGGCGCCGTCAGTGGACAAGACATGTGTGAGCAATCTTGAAGACGTACTAATCCCATGACTTGGCAACCGTAGTAGACATAGTTGCTGCCAATCGACTGCAGAACCAGATTTTTCACGTCTTCGACCATGTGGCCGGCTCTGACCGGGATCCACACTGAGTGGTCATGGTCACTCTGGATGGCCACCAGATGACGAGCCCGTAAGGAAGATAATACTCTGGGTGTAATTGACGAGTAGTCTCCCTGTCTCGTCGGCACAAGTACCAGAACAATCTGAAGCCGTTGTTCAATACCCCAGAACAAAGTACAGTTAGTTGCGTACCTCTGGTTCATAACCACACGAAAAGACTTGGGTCCACTCTACATGCGGGCATAAGTAGCTAGAAGCTGAGAGCTAAGGCAACACCAACCTGTGGGGGTGGCCACACCGCGCCATTCTGGTGACTACGGAATGGTGAGCGGCAGCTTCCTGACGTATATCAAAGTTGTATTTACTTTTGTAGGGTCAAATCCTTGGTCTTTGATGGATTTTTGGAACCAACAGTCCTGGATTCTCGCGGCCCAGGCTTCCGCTCGCTGCTTATACGGGAACTGGAAGAAGATGGTTCGCACCATTGGCATTGAATATCCATTGGCGTTGTGTGCAAACACCTCTGGGTCAGTTTCGATGTACCCCATTTTTAGGCACCCGTATTCTTTTGATGTTCGGGCCCAATGTCGAGTGGCATACCCTGCTAGGGTGCCGGGACATTCAATTTCAACCCAAGTGGGTTCCTAGACACATTTTTAAGGAATTGAGCGATTATTTGGTAGAATAGTGGGCCCATACCTTTTTTGGAGCCCAGAGTTGCCTCAGACTGTAGTTCTGCTTCAAGTTGGCTTTGCCCTTGGCGATGGATGTTCTTGAGCTAGATGGCTACTATGAGAGAATGTTACATATGATAGGGTAAGATGCGACTAGCCTCGACATATCGGAGGGCACGATACTGGCGTTGGAAGCGAAAGAGGATTAACATTTCAATGATTCCGATTTCTGCATTGAAGGCATAATCGATGTAAACAGTGTTACGATAACTCTTTCAATTTCTCAGTTTCTTTTTTTCATGATGCAAACATAGAATTCCGACACATTTGCCGCCTCGCGCAGATTGGAGCCTTGCAACAATACACACAACGCCCTCCACTGATAGCGGGAAATTGAAGCCCGAGTTGATCCGGAAATGAATGACGCCAGTGACCGTAAACGTAAAGGCGACTGAGCCAGCAAGGAGGTTGGTGACAAAAACATGAAGAGATAGAGTGCGCGCGAAGTACAAAAAAAAACAGTGAAAATAGTCATCAAAGCAGCAGTTCGGCTCTCCGGGGGGACCAGTTGCCTTTAGGAATACGCGGGACGGTGTCACCAGAGCACCAAGCGAAAGGGGGAGGGGGAAGCGCCGGCAAGCCAGGGTCGTCATGAACATCGCAGCACCAAGGCCGTGGGGGAATGCCATCACAACCAAGAAATAATGGGAAGAAAGCTGTCATGTGATCATACGATGGGGTTGACTCCTCGTAATTCGTGACACTTGGTCCAGATATTCCAAAGGGTAGGGGCTATCGAAAATAAACAAGGCTCAGCGACAGGAGCAACAACCCAGAGCACGACCACAGAATCAACTTACCTGTAAGCACGTGTACAACGTCCGATATGGAAAAGTCGAGCAAGTTCGCTGAGGCCTGTGAATGCAGTAAATGGATGATCGATACCACTGTGACACCAGGGGGACCCACATATAAGTGGAATTTCGTTCGTCGAATACACTCTCGCGGCGTTTTCATGCCGATCGCAGTCGTGAGTCCCAGGCGAGCGGCGAGGCAAACGGCGAGAGCCCAAAGTGATTAATGGAATGAGATCAAAATATAAAACGTGGTGAAGCCGAATAACTTGTGTATTATCAAGGCCTGTTGGTTGGTGGGCGACTATTGAAGATGAAAACAGCGGGGCGTGCGTTGGGAGTAGTAACTGGCCGACAGGTCGATTTACAGATCAGATTCGGGCACGTACCACGGCCACCGAACGGGTTAAGAAATTCGACACTATTGCTTCCTAGTTATCAAGCTCTACGAAGGTATAAGTGTGTTGGAGCCCTATGGCAAACCGCGATCAGCACGGGGTAAC